TCTATTAGTTTTTTTATTTTCTCTATGAACAGTCCCGTTGCTTTGTCTATATTATTTATAGAGTGTAATTGTTCCCAGGATTCTTGTTTGACATTTGATATTAGTTTTGAATTGTCGACAAAAAATTTGTAATTTTCCTGGTTGTTATTAACGGTAGGGATGTTAGAATGTTTTTCATTTGAAGATATCAGTAAAATAGTGGAGAAGTGGTCAGTAATATCGCTTTCTAGGATTATTGGTATACAAGTAATTTTGTTGGATAGGTCTTTCACAAAGCAGTGATCTATACATGTGCCACAGATGGACCTTGTAGGTAGGTTTATATAGGACAGAAATCCGTTACTTGATAGGATATTCAAGTATTCATTTGTGATGGGATCATGGTCCAAAATATTTATATTGATATCTCCCAAGAAAATATGTTGCTTTAAATGAACTTTATTTTGACTTTGAAAAAAAAATTCGATATTCTTTAAAAACTCGTGGGGTTCTGAACTTGGCGGACGATAAATTGCAGATACCTCAATTTTGTTATGGTTAATTTGGATCATTATGTTTAAAATTTTGATTCCATCGGTGAAAGTGAATGTATCATGATTATATTACAGTTTATTTCTTACAAAAACTATCACCCCATCGTTTTGGTTATAAGTGCCAAAGTTATACAGCGTGTCATATCCCTGCTGATTGAAGCAAGAAATATCAACCACTTGCCACGTTTCAGTTAAAGCCCATTTAAATTCACAAAATTCCAACATGGCCTCCACACCAAAAAACAAAGTTGGTCATGGAAACTTGTAGATGAGAATAAGTAACAATGACGACATGCAATTTATTTTGACATCCTATCTCAAATAAAGGCGGGCAAAGATTAAAGTGATTTTGTGATAAATCTGGTATGCGTCACGAATGTCTATCTGATAATTCCAAGACCTCTTTAAGTGATATTGAAAAACTAAGGCTTGGCAACATAAATATATGATGCATTATATATTTCTGGAATCAGAATTAAAAACTTTATTCATTTGTGCAAAAATCCGATATGGCGTCCATAAGAAAAAATAAAGTCGACAAGATAGGACAAGAGACGAAACGTCATATTGAAATTCGTATTTTTCCTTGTCCCTCCGGAAGGGCTTAGAATTTAGAAACTTTCTAAACGGCATTTTGTTGATTGCTTAAATAGGGGAGACCTTGGCTAGTTGTCACAATTTTCAGTAATTATTTTTTTTATTCGATCTGAAGCGTTATATGCACATATTTGGTGTATAACTAATATGGTTTACCCTTTGGGAACACTCTGTAAAATCGATAAGGCTGTAAAATAATTCACAATATTAAATTAAAATGTTTCAACATACAGAAACAAATGTGACAACTTGTCCCTTGCTGGGGCTGGATGTCACATTGCTTGGGGTTGGTTGTAACGTGTATTTCAGATCATTAATAATTTATATCATACTTTTAAACATATTTATTATTACAAATAAGACATATTGATTTGGTATTTAGATACCAAATCTTTATGAGAAAAAAGCAGAAGAGTTTTTTTTACAATTAGTCACTATCGCAGTTATGACATATGTAAAGTTTGCGTCCATCAGTGCACGCATCATGAGACCAACCATTACACGATGAGCATTTCACCCATTCTTCATTTGACGCGCTGTTAAAAAATGACTCAAGACAAATCAAGCAACAACATTCTTCTCCATCAGTTTAATTATCTGAACAGGACTTTTTCTGAATCAAAACGTCCCTTTTCACTGTTTCCCTGTTCCTCTTTTTCTTGTTCGAGCATTTATTTTTCTCTTTCTCTAATTCGCCTTTTACTGGAGTGTCAGTGAGTATTGCAGTCCCTCGTTTACGACGGGAAACTCGATTCATTTTTCTTGCCGATGCCTTTGGATAAGGTCTTAAATTCTCTGGAAATACTGCAATTTCCCGTATGCAGCCATACTAAACTACTACAGCAGGGATCATCAAAACTAGTTTGACTAGCTGTTTTGCCTCTCGTATATTATCTATTGCTTCCTGCGTGTTAATATTTATCAGACTTACAGTTTCATCTTCGTTCAAGATGGTTGGATTTGGCTCAACTTCCTTTTCGTTTAAGGTTTCCGGATTTGGTCCAGTTATTGCTTCGTTCAAGATACCCGGATCTGGCCTATCAGTGACAGAGCCTGCAAGAAAGTCATCATCCGTGAAAATATCTCTGTTGTAAAGAAACATACCAGACACCCGAAATCCAGACTGTATATTTTTGGGAGTAAATGCGAGGGGGTATGCAATAGAGACCACTGAAGGTATGTCGTATATAGTCATGGTCTTACCGGGATTATTTAAAACCCAAGCATCGCAGGAAGTATTCACATATTTCTTAAAAAGGCCGAAAACGCGGTCAAGAGGTTGAAGTTTATATGAACAGTGAGGGTAAAAAGAGAGCATGACAATGCCATTTGCTTTGGCAAAATTCAGTCCTTCTATACTCAGATGTGATCCATGGTTATCTAGTAAAAGCAGGCACGGTCTTTCAACAGTACTTTTCACATGAAGGTGAAAAAATCTAAGAAACTCCAAGAAATGTGACTCTTTCATCCAACCTGATGGGTTTGCTGAACCTTGTGAGCCAGGAGGAGCCGAATTTAAAAAATGTCGTTTGAAATGTACCCGTGGAAAAATGAAAAACAGGAGGTATGGAATTTCCAACAGTTGATTCTGCACTTGCTAAAGTAACAAGAGTTCCTCTTTCTGATGAAACTATCGAACCAACCTCTTCTGGCAACAACGCCGTCGGGTCTTTGGACAGTTGTAATCCCAGGCTCATCATGTTCCACATTTCGTGAGGCTCAAATTTATATTTTACCATAACTGAAGCTAAATTATCAAAAAATGTGTTGACGTCCGTTTTATTGAAACTACTTTCTCTTGCTAAACTAGTTGCTTCCGGTTTGCGAATAGACAGTACAGGATGACGTTTCAGAAACGCACTGAAGCAGTCAGGACCAGCTATTTTATGGATCTTCTAATTTTCCGGAATTTTCAAGGAAATAGTATTAGAAAATTTATATGCCAGTCCACGTACTTCCTTGGGTGATAATCCAAAATAAATATCAGATGCTTTGAGTACATATTCCACTAGATGATTTTCAAGGTCAGGCTCAAATACTAAATGATTTTTAATGTAGCCAACTGAAATTGACGGCGCAACAACTCGATCATCAAGTAATTCAGACTCTGGAATTTTCTTACAGTATCTTGCTAACGTACAGTAATTTACATTGAAGTCAGCTTCCGCTTTGCTTATTGAGGATCCTATTCTCACTAACCTAGCAGCTCTTAAAAGTACGTCAGGCGGCGCTTTGCCCTTCTCAGTCTTCCTTTTGAAATTTCGAACCATGCTTATGTAACCTGAAAATATTATACATATAGGTACGTAGAATGATGCGCAAAGCTAATCGTCTAGTGTGGGGGTTGGTTGTCCCATGTGACAAGAGGCCCCCGCTAATTTGAGACAACCTGCCCCACTAGATAATTAATTTTTAAGGTTAGATAGCGTCACTAAATTAACAAATTCAATGTCAATACTTACGTTAAGTCGTATTAGGATTATCGAAGAGCAAAATAAATTCAACAGTTCTTTTTATTATCAAATGTAGTCTTGAAAACACAAATTATGTGGCAAACGAAAAATTTACTCAGGTTAGGCGATTTGTTTATTTTTGTGCGTGCGACCTGAATCTATCAACGACAACTTTCGTACTGAATCCAAGTCGTCGCTTGAATGCAGAAGTATTCTAAGTCACAAAATGCAAATCTTACAGGAGAGCTATTTTTCGTGTTTGTGTTTTGCCTAACATTAATGAGAAATTTTGGACATGGAATGTTTTACCGGAAAAAAAGTATGACAAGTCCGTGAAAGTCGACTCATATTTTTTGCTGACATTGGACTTACAGTAATTCTGTAAGTGATTATCTGCTCCAGTCATAGTTCTGCATCAAAATGACGCGCCTCAAGCTGTTACGCCTAATATCGTTCAAGACCAGTGGTGGGGGAACTCTTGCGCAGGGACTTACAATACCTCTGCATGACTATGACCTACAATGTCGTGTTAAAATCTGAAACATGAAGAATTTGGACATAAAATAGTTCTGCATTTAGGCGACGAAGTGTTCTGCGCGGACGCAGAAACGATGTGTAGCGCGCCCGCTAACTACATCTTGCGGAGCTGCTGAGATTTAACAATCATTGTGACAACCAACCCATGTGACAACTAGCCCCGGTCTCCCCAACGCAATTTTGCCCCCATTCAAGCCACTTCGTATCTCTTACCGTGTCCGGGATCGCAATGGTGAATCGAATTTGAAACATCCGGTATGTTAACGTAACGAATGAAAATTTGCTTACGTTATTTTCAAGGTTTTCTGAAGAGTTATACTCCATCAAGCCATTAGACTACTCTTTGCTGCCCTCATTAAAATGTCGTCGCAGTTCCACTTCCAACTTAATTCTTCATATACTGTTCCGATTACAAAACCCTATTACAAGAATTATGCAAAGCACTCAAAACGAATGCATGCAGCCCCATCTTCACAGCGATTTAATTAAGGCGATGTTTGGCATTTCTCCACACACCGTTTTTCCATCCATCAATTTGCAGTAATATCCTTACATCATGATGATACCCCAGTGACTCGGGGCTATGTTTCATTATCTTCGAACTCTGATGGACTCGGCAGTTGATGATTCTCAAAAGGTATTATTCCTTATTCGCACCCTAGTTCTCAATATTTGAAGTGAAAACCATTTTTGATATTGTCGAAAAATTACTGCACAGTTCATACCCAGAAAGCAAAGAAAAAAGAAGCTTACAAAATATCCCTTACGACCGTTTATCTCAATGTCATATATCTGACTACTTTGCAAATGCTTATTTGAGGACTGTTGTTAACAGTAAAACAAAACATCTTAGTGGGTTACGTTAACAAAGTTTGTAAGTCAAACTATTCTGACATTAGGTATATGATTTTTGTTTCAATAGTGTCAAGAATTTTGATAGAAATGGATGGCGTCCACCAAAATTCATCAACACATAGGACAGGCAATAATAAGCATGTGGAAGGGGCTCGTATATATACCAAAGTTTTGAGACAAAAGAAATATTAGGTCTCAAAACAGGCAAACTATTATAAAGCTTCGGTCCTAGGTATTGGAATAATCTCTGTATTGGCATTGACATGAGGCTTTGGTAAGCATGCTCTTATTTTATGGCAGGTATCATAGTCATACTCAGTTCGGAGTAACTTATGTTTTAGTTGGTGCTGCTTCATGATGATCTGGATGAAGCATTGTTGTGGAATATCATGCACTGCAATTTCGGTATATAGTGGTTCTGTTGGGTACGTTGTTGGCTTATTATATATTACCTTTAGAATGCACTTTGGTATTGTCTCGAGATTTTTCATGTGTGTCTTACACGCTGTTCCCCACGCGATCACGCCATACCTCAAATGTCTCATAATGTGTGGTGAAACGTCAGCGAATAAGTAAAAAAAATAAATGATTAAGTACTCACTGTTCAGTTGGATTGAAATTCCAAGTACGGCGCTGTCGTGCAAAATCCGTAATTACATCGTAGTCGTACGACATAAATTGTACGCTGGCGCTGGAGCTGCATGATTCAATCTCCCAGGTCATAACATATGGTGTTGTACTAAGACTATGTGAGTCAGTATTCAAATCAGGCGTCGCATGGTTAACCTAGTTTATAAGCAAACCGCATTTTAAAAACCAGAATTGGCACATTTCTAGAGCAAGAACGTTTTTATTGTTATTTCTTTCCATCAGTGCTGCTTATGCTTGTTTATATCATGCAGAAACCGTCTGGTTCAACATAGTTGAAAGCCTTGACAAGCCAAATGAAGAGTGAGTATTTTATACCTATTAAGCCAAAGATATTACTTTTTCCATCGCGTGTGTGGCGATTTAATTTCCCCCCATATGCGCTTCCGGCCAAAAGCTTGACCATGACACCTATAGGTCATATGAACGGCTCAAACAAACATGAACGGGAAATCGTGTACTTACAGTATATTCAGATAAGAGATAGACCGGACATAAACAAGACCACGTGCTCATCGAACGCTGTAACATTCGGCAGGGACGTATTAAGAGTCACGCAGTACATATTTTAGATAGTAGATGCTGCTTTGCGTAACTTTGTAGTAAATTAGCACAATTCGATGTGTATACGATTGGTGATGGATATAGGATCATGTGGGGGTGGGGTAAGAAATATATAATGATGTAAATATACATAAGGGTTTCAAAATTTTCGCTTCGATTTCCAGCTTCGGATGCCGCCTGATGTTTGGTGAAATACAGTCGAATATAATCTCAAAATGGCGTTTAAATTAGCCTAAATTAAAAATAATCGTATATCTCTTAAAATTGCTTTTAGAATATTGATTAGTATATTTTTTGATTTCTAGGTAAAACGTTCAAAACGTAAAAAAATGTGCATGGTTGAACATTGTCAGAAAGTAGATTCTTGAATAGGTTTTGCCAAAATGGGTTCAAAAATGTCAATAATTAATTAAAAAATACAGTAGCTTTATAATTACTTATAACTTACCGAATTTGATGAACGACATCTTTTATTGGAAAGATGAGCTTTCATCATCGCTACTGCCTGAAGCACCAACGTCAATAATGAATGGCTCGACTTGTTCCTCTAAAATATTGTCCAGTTCCCACATTCTCTTTTCAACTTTGTCTTTCACGTGCTTAATACAGTTTTCCCATTTTTGCGCTGTTATTAATTCTACTGCTTCTTTGAAAAGTCCTTTGAGGTCACAAAATTTAAAAGTTGTATTGTGCTTAGCTATATAATTTTTAACCTCTGCCCATATGAGCTCAATGGGATTGAGCTCGCAATGGTATGGAGGTAAACGGAGCACAGTTTTATTTTGACTTGCTGCCATTTCGTCAATGGCGTATTTTTGATATTCCGCCTTGTGATCCTTGACAATTCTTAATAATTGTACTTTCAGCATTGCTTCTTCAAAGTTGATATTTTTCGATTGAACATCAACTTTCCTTGAAGCCGTTGTTGGGACCTTCTCCATTCTTCGAGAATGATAAGGCGCATTATCCTACACAATTACTGCGTTTTCCTCTAAGTTCGGTAAAATTTTTGAAAACCACTGTTCAAACGATTCGGCATTCATTTCCTCGTGGTAATCTCCAGTTTTCTTAGACTCAAAGCACCACAGACTGTCAACAACAAATCCATCCTCACTGCCAATGTGGCAGATAATGAGCCTTTTCCCTTTACCTGGAAATCGAAGTACTAACTGGTGTAGATTTATTTCAATAAGCGAACCTTTTTCAAATGTTTTCATCACATTCAGCGAAAGAACATTGAGACATGAGTATCAGATTGCTATAATTGGGATTATTTAGTCATATTGAAAGAAAGAATATTGAACGTCGTATGATTACTCAGCGCTTCACAATTTAATTTAAAGTTATAAACCTTTAAAAAATGACTGATCAGGAACCTGAAATACGCGCAAATATTAGTATTAACAAATTATAACTTTATAAAGCTTAAAGTATGAATTAAAATGATTAGAAATATTAGGAACGGTCAATATAAAACTTAGTAACTTTTTTTAAGTTTATAATATTCGACATATTTTAAGATTATATTAAAAAATTATTGAAATATCGAAAACACATAAAAACATGGCTTAAAAAAGTTCTAACAAATGAAAATGACAATAAAACATCCACGCATTTTATCGAAAGTTATAAAAGTTTTGTTACTTGTAATATGTTTTATCTGCCCCCTGGAATTAATGTTTAGAACCTTGTTCCCAAAATTTGAAAAACATCCGATTGTTGTCTATTACTCCTATTTACCTGCTGGATTTTTTAATCCGGTGGACAGTCCATCTAGAAAGGCCCTCCTGGATGAAGTTACAGAATCATCAACCCATACTTTACTTGTAGTGTGTCCTGCGTTTACCCACGTTTCATCAAGGTAATAAATCTTCCTGTTTTGATTTCTATATTTCCCAATTTTTGTTAAATAATCCCTCCTCCATAGCACAATTTCTTCTCTATCCAGTAGTAAACTATTACGACCCCGTTTTTTCCATTTGAAATTTAAATGCTTCAGTAACGCATGGAAAGTTGATCGTTTGGCAACGTTGTATCTCCATTTACCTCCTGCAGTACTTTATCTATAGTAGGTATTTCATTCCTAAAGAAGAATTCATGCACTTTCCTCCTAATCGCATGCTTATCAGCTTCATCCAATGATTTAACAATACTTTTGCGATGTTTACTGGTCATTGGCTCAGAAAAGGTGTGATTTTTTTTGTATTGTCTTAACACATTAAACACTGATGCGCGACACACCCCAACTTTGTGAGAAACCTTCACAACAATTTCTTTGATGGTTGATGCCTCGTTCTCCTCGCGCTCGATCTTATATATATTCAAAATGACCTCTTTCATTTCTGCACTCAGGTGTCTTTTTTTAGAGCGTTTCCTAGGTGGACTACAGGAGTTTACAACTTCATCGGCAGTATCTGTACTACTGGGCATTTTGCGCAAGCAGTTGATAACAATAACAATCAATAACAAGGTATAACAATAACAACGACAAACTCAACAACTTAATAAGATAACAAACGAAAACGTCCAAAGAAATATCAAATTGCAATGATGCACACGACATACGTAACACGTCTGAACCTGAATGTGACTCTGCCTTGATACGACTGCTCTGCCGCTCGGCATAGGCATTTAATTGCGAATTGACCAATGAGGGCTCCTGTTTTACGTCGAGACGGCGGCGTTAGCGTGAAAATCACCCGAACCTTTTGTTACATCCGGTCTATCTCTTATCTGAATATACTGTAGCTTTTTCTTTCCTACGCCTACTGGCGAGGAAGTATTGCACTCGCGAAAATTTTCGAAAAAGAGATATAATAATAATAATAATATTTATTCACTTAATGTACAAAGATAACAAACAATATGAGTAAATAAATATAAAATCAAAACAGGCCCAATAGAAGGCATCGCCTGTACATGGACCAATAATTTAAGTTGAAACTGTAGAATGCAAATGACACAAAAGGACAAAAATTAGCTACAGTAGATTATGTATTTAGTTGATGTTCGTATTTATGAGTTTATGAATTTCAGTCCTAGATATAGAATGTAGCCACTTTTTTAAATTTCTTTTGAAACAATTTCCGAAACGTAAATCTTTTAAGTCTTTAGGTATAATTTCATAAAATTTAGGCGCTAAATAGAGATATGATCGCTGCATTATATATTTATGCGGTTGAGGAACTACTGTGCCACGAATTTTGTACCTGGTATAATGATTATGTTTAATTTTTTGGTCGGTGTTTACAAATTTATGGTAGTGAGTGATACTGTGTAAGAAATAAAGCTGTCTTATATCATACATTCGAACATCTGCGTATAATTTTTCAGTGGGATAAAGTTTCGGTTTTTTAAATATCATTTTTAGAATACTTTTTTGAAAAACATCTAAATTATAGATATGTGAGGAACATGCAGCTCCCCATGCTAATATACCATATGTGAGATGAGGCTCAATCAGTGCATGGTATAATGTTCGAAGATATTTTTCTGTCAATATATTCCCAAGGTATTTAATTTTGTAGGATACAAATCTAACTTTCTTTAAAATATAATTGACATGGATGTCCCATCGTAAGTGAGGATCCAAGACCACTCCAAGGTATTTTATGTTGGGCACTCTATTAATTTGCATTTTTTGATCATTAATATTGAAGGAGAAATTTGAGTAATTTGGCAGATGTCTAGCATAAGATCCAAATGGTAAAAAATGTGTTTTAGAGTAGTTAATGCTTAATTTTCTACTGTTAAACCACTGAATAATTTTGATAAAATCATTTTCAATTACATTTTTCAGATCAGACCAGTCAGTGCCTTCATATAATATTGCAGTATCATCTGCAAAACTAGTTATTTTGCCAACACAATTAATTTGGAAAATATCATTTAAATATATATTGAATAACAGCGGACCTAAGACAGTTCCTTGTGGGACACCACACTTAATATACATTTCTTTACTAAATGATCCTGATATCTGCACAGATTGTGGGCGATTTGACAAATAACTTTCGATCAGTGAGTACGCGTTTCCTCTGAAACCAATTCTCTCCAATGCTTCTAATAATAATTTGTGATTAACTGTGTCGAAAGCTTTCTTTAAATCAACAAAAATGCAGAAATCAACAAAAATGGAGCCGTTCAAGTATTACGTGAGCACTATGGGGGGGCAGGGGGTTCCTTTGCTTTGC